CGAACCCTTTGCCAATGCCCTGTCAATCAATCAATCAATCAATCAATCAATTTATTTGCCCTTTTTTAACATACAATATTTAAATTACAGGGAGCCGATTGGAGCCCGAACGCTGTTTTAGCTAATAGAAAAAATTAGATGTTTTTACGCTGTATTAGCTAATAAAATAATAAGATGCATTTTCCTTTGTTCCTGTCACTGTCTGGAAGGGATTTGAATCCGATCAGAGACGGTTAATAGTTAAAAATATTAAAAACGCGAGACCACAGGTAGCCCAAGCTCGAAATATGAGCATCGGCATTGTTGCGTAACATTCAAAATATAAGGATTTTAGGATTTGTATGGGGAAAAAAACCTATCGTTTCCGTAACCTACGAAAATGAAAGGATTCCAATTAAAAAAAAAACAGTTTACCTTACTTAAAATGTTCGTTACGTCTCTCCTGTGTGGTCCACGGGCCGATTTATGGCCGTTTTATGGGTTTTTATGTAAACGGACTTCTCTCTATAAAAAGGTCTACCAAGGTTGGGCACTCCAGCGAAGCGGCCCGACTGATCCACCGAAGGAAAACGTCCGTATATTCGCTCCAACCGCCTCCAAATTCCGCCTAGGTAACACACGATAGTTCTTCTTTCCATTCGTTATCTTGCTTCAAGACTCCTTTGCACCGAGAGCGAATCGAAGGTCGCAAATCTCTGCAACCTTTCCCGTCTGAAGCCATCGACTGAGGCTCGGCCTGAACTCCGCGTTACCGTTGACAGATAGCGACACGGCCTGAGACTCAAATTACTCACACTCGGGGTGGGAGACAGTCTCTTGCTCCCGTTGTTTTCCTATTGTGTCAACGGGAGCAAGAGACTGTCTCCCACCTCAAGTAATTTGAGTCTCAGGCCGTGTCGCTATCTGTCAACGGTAACGCGGAGTTCAGGCCGAGCCTCAGTCGATGGCTTCAGACGGGAAAGGTTGCAGAGATTTGCGACCTTTGATTCGCTCTCGGTGCAAAGGAGTCTTGAAGCAAGATATATATAACGAATGGAAAGAACTATCGTGTGTTACCTAGGCGGAATTTAGAGGCGATTGGAGCAGTTGGAGCGAATTTCCGGCCGTTTTCCTTCGGTGGATCAGTCGAGCCGCTTCGCTGGAGTGCCCAACCTTGGTAAACCTTTATAGAGAGAGAAAACCGTTTACATAAAAACTCATAAAAACGGCCATAAATCGGCCCGTGGACCACACAGGAGATACGTAACACACATTTCAAGTAAGGTAAGCTTTTTTTTATTGAAATCCTTTCATTTTCGTAGGTTACGGAAACGATAGGTTTTTTTCCCATACAAATCCTTATCACAAATTACATCAGTTGGAGATGCTCACTCTGTATCTACGGAAATGCCTATTGGAGTACCCCAAGGCAGTATATTGGGATCTTTATTGTTTTTAATTTACGTGAATGATCTTCCGGACTGTCATCTGGCAAGCGATATTATTCTTTATGCGGACGATACTGTACTCTATTACTCATCAAAAAAGCGTCAGTGATCTTGAACATCACATCAATGCTGACTTAGGGACAGTGTCTGAGTGGTTCTCTAGAAATCTCCTGACACTAAATATATTCAAATGTAATTTTGTTATCTTTGGAAGTCCTCAGAAACTGAATCGTATTCAAGGCATTTCGGTTAAAGTAGAGGGCACTAGTATTGAAAGAACACAATCATTCAAATACCTAGGCGTAACGCTTCAACAGTCTATGTCCTGGGCAGATCATGTCGATGCTATCAGCATGAAGATTAATCAGAGAATAGGCCTAATTTGGAGAATCAGGAATCTATTGCCGCTACAAGCTAGAGTTGCCTTGTGCAATGCCCTAATCCTCCCTCTTCTTGATTACGGAGACGTTATATGGGGGGACAAGAACAATGACACCATCATGTCAGAATTACAGATTCTGCAGAATAAAGCTTCAAAAGTTTTGCTGGGGCAACCACTCCGAAGCTCGTCAACTGAAGCACTGAAGAGTCTAGATCTGAAGTCACTGTCCACAAGAAGGTTTTTTCATCGCTGCATTGCAATCCACAAGTGTCTCATTGGAGAAACCGATTTCAACTTTAATTTTACTAAAACTCAAGCTGTTCATTCATATAATACAAGACGCTCTAATGATATTCGCTTACCCCTACCCAGAACAAACTGGGGTAAACAAACTTTTATTTTCATGCAGCTAAAGACTGGAACAGCCTTCCAAATGATTTAAACGAGTGTAATATTTTGTCTATTTTTAAATCCAAGTTAAAAACTTTTTTTAAAAGATCTCAGCTAATTTTAAACCTTGATATTTTTTGTATAATCGAATTTAAGATTTTAAATTTTTTTTAAAGTTGTTTTACTTGTAAACATATTTTACTTTTTTCGTAATAATTAATTAATTAGTTAGATTAATGCATGAGGCCCCCACTGAAAACCGCCTTGGTGAGTTGGGCTCCCTCTATAAATATTATTATTATTATTATTATTATTATTATTATTATTATTATTATTATTATTATTATTATTATTATATTTTGAATGTCACGCAACAATGCCGATGCTCGCCAATGCTCGTATTTCGAGCTTGGGCTTCCTGTGGCGAGACGAAACTTGACCGTCTTATTTACGACGCGCCAGACACCCCTCCGTGTCTCCCTCGCGCGCGCCCGTTCACTCTTTCACCCACTACTTCCAAGCGCCTGCTACGCAGGCTATTTGATAACCAGCAAAGTTAACCGTCGCTGATCGGATTCAAATCCCTTCCAAAACGACTTAATATAAAGTATCGGCGCTTGGCGCCGATACTTTATATTAGGGACCGTTAAGACCCGAGAACGGCGACGGCAGAGAAAACGTCGCTGAAAAAGTGAATTTGTTCTTTCGATCTTCATCGCGATTACTCCAAGTTACTAACTTTTTCAAATGTAGGCGAACCATCCTAAAGATGAATTTCTAAGAACCATAGCCAAGTGCAGAAAGAGGGAGGAAATTTCGTCGTCGCTTGTGTACTTCCTCTGTTCAACGTGAAATTAGGCATTTTCAGGTCGTAGTCGTGCAGTGACGGCAAAGAAATGTACAAAAAATTGTGATGCACGTGCAAAATTGTTGTTTTGGTTATTAAACCTATTGCTTTTGTGGAGTTCCCGTTGCCGTCGCCGTCGTCGGATCTTAAGGTCCCTATTAAGTCGTTGACGAACGTCGTTGACGAACGTCGGTATATTAAGTCGTTCGCGTTCGTCGTTGACGAACGCGAACCATCAGTATGGATAAGAAAAAAATATCTTCTGGAACCCAGGATACTTATAAAGACAAAGGAACAAAGGAAAATGCATCTTATTGTTTTATTAGCTAATACAGCGTAAATATATCTAATTTTTTCTATCAGCTAAAACAGCGTTCGGGCTCCCTGTGACAATAATTACACAGTCTTATAATTTTAAAAATATACTTGGGCAGGAACTCTTAGCAAACCCTGTAGGGCTTTTTGAGGAGAGCCCCTGGACAAATTTTATACAAGTATGATTGTAATTTAGAATTACATGTCTGTGTTATAGATTACATGGATAAAGTATGTAGCGGCTACTCACATTTTGGTGTAAAACCTCCACGTAGTATTTCTTATTAGCTTGAAGATGGAGTGGCTCTTTGGATCTTTGTTCAGGATATTTATCTAACTCATCCTTACCCGTCCAAGCTATTGCGTTTTCAGTGAATACACGAGCAACCAGCCGTTTATTATACGGATTTTCGTCTGTACTTATCCACAACTCCGAAGTGTCGTCAGAGGCGATCGCAAAACGATACAAACCATTACTTTGTGGATGTAAATATCCAAATATTTTCTGACCGTATTCCACGCTGTCGTCTTCAATCTGAAAGTCGTTGATGAACTTCTCCTCATCAGGATATTTTGGAAAGAACGGTGACTTTTTTAAATATGTTACGTTCGAACCGCACTGCATTCGCCAAACGTGAACATTGAGAGCGTGTGGTACACGTGCTGCGACAGTATTCTCGTCCTCAGAGCCAACGCCACCGATTGTCCTTGGAAACGCAGAGAATTTCTCGTCTTCAGAGCCAACGCCACCGATCGTCCTTGGAAACGCAGAGAATTTCTCGTCCTCAGAGCCAACGCCACCGATTGTCCTTGGAAACGCAGAGAATTTCTCGTCCTCAGAGCCAACGCCACCGATCGTCCTTGTAAACGCAGAGAATTTGTTAACTGTATCGTCGCTATGTCTTCCCCAAAATGTAAAAAGTAAAGAAAACGAGATCGAGCCTGCAGTTAGTGCGACAATCAAAGGCCTCACAGCTTTTTTAAATCTTCGGAATGAAAGAGGGCGTCGAAGCCACATAACTTGGATCGAATGTTGTGACCCCAGGCTTGTGATTCAGTCAGACAGCCAGCTGTCACTGGATGACACTGTAAACCAACAAATAAATACTTTCTTTACTGTTATTGATCATCGCCAAAAAACTCCGAGTTTTGAAAACAACCTCCTACTTTCGAAAACAAATTCCAATTTTTGATAAGAAACACCTCAAAAACTCTAGTCGCTGCACAGTTAGCCCAAGCCGCCAAATATGAGCATCGACGAGCATCGGCATTGTTGCGTAACATTCAAAATATAAGGATTATTATGGGAAAAAACCTGTCGTTTCTGTAAGCGATATAAAGGTAAACCTTTATATAGAGAGATAACCCTGTTAACGTAGTTTTTTGGACTATGCAAGGAATTCATAGTTAAGGAATTTGAGGTAGCCTCGTACACGCCCAACAGGAAACTCAAATAGTAGATGAACCTCAACTTTAATTAAATAAGGTCATAAGGTCATAAGGTCAGCGGTCAGCGGTCAGCGATGATGATGGCCACGTTTTTTTGAAGCTGTAGTTTGCGTTGCCTTTTTGTGTCTTTTGTGTCTTTAAATACTTTAGTTTTTTTCGTGTAAGAGTTCCTGTTGTCTTTTATTTGAACATGTCAAAGAAAGGAAAGAAGCAAGACGTGAATGACGATAGTTTTGAATCGTATGTGAAGGACTGCCTGGAAACGATTCGACAGGATGTCGAAACCATAAAGAACAATCAAGCAAAATTCAAAGAAGACTTGAAAACTTTCGAACAAAAACTCGAAAGAACTACAGAGTCGCTTAACCTAAAGTTCGATACTCTAAACGGCGAAGTCCACGTGGCCATGACCACAGTTGACGAATTGGAGGATGAGGTCAGCAAGCTCGCTACTAATGTCAACCAAGCGTACGAAAGGCTTTTATCATTGGAACGTTACTCAAGAGATTTCAACCTACGATTTTACAACATTCCCGAGGACTCAAATGAGAACTGTATTGAAAAATTGAAGACCATACTATCTAATGATTTGGGCATCAAACCCGTGATAGAGAAAGCGCATAGGATTGGGGGACCCAGGACTGGCGCTTCAAATGACCCGAGACCTGTCATTGCCAAGTTTCTTTATCGACCGGAACGTCTTCAGGTAATCCAGAATTCTTGGTTTGCAACCACGTGACAAGGCGGCCTGTTGGGGGTCAAAACAAAAGAATATTTCCTCGAAGAATTTACATGAAAATAGAAATGCTTTTGTTCTTGACCACCAACATGGCCGCCGTGACGTCACGTGCAAACCAGCAATAAGAGAAGTCTAAAGAATGGTGTGAGAATATCTGATGATTTAATCTGGGAGGACCGACAAAAAAAGAAGAAGTTAAAAGGAATCATGAAACAAGCGTATGAGGAGGGAAAGAAGCCCCGTTTTCACCACAGTAATTTGTATATTGATGGGGTTCTATATAAAAGTGGCTAGACTTTCAATATTGCTTGTATGTATCGTTTGTGATAAATTTTATGCAAATGTCTCGGAACGAAAATGATCCTGACTTGAATTTACAATCTTTTAATGACCACGGGATTTTTACCATTGATGAATTGAATGAATTATTCCCCGTTGTCAAGCCATACTTTTCTGCGTTACATGTAAATATCAGAAGTTTAAATCAACACTTTGCTGATTTATGCAACTTATTAGATTCTACTCCTTTTACTTTTGATTTTATTGGATGTTCGGAGACTTGGCTCTCACCTCATAGTTATTTAGATTGTTTTTCATTCCCAGGTTACGTCTTTATAAATGATAATCGTACCTATTCGTCTGGTGGCGGAGTAGGATTGTATGTAAAATCACAGGCGGCCCAGACGTAGTATGTGTCACTGAATGAATATATTAATATCCACATGGACAAATTAATGCGATGAGTCGTCGAAACTCCCATGGACTAAAATAGTCTAAAAGTCAAAATATAACAAAACAAAGCTAAGATACCTTCAACTGAAGGTATCCTTGTCTTTCCTGGCCGGTTTAAGTGGCATTTTGTTGAGTTTTGCAATTGTAGGTACTATCTACTAAAGAAGAATTAAAGGCTGGCTACAAAACAAATAGACCATCTCCACGCGCCTTCACACGAAGCGCTATAAATTCGAGAATAATCGACGAATCCGCTCCAAATAACCATCGGCTAATCTGCAGGTAACGTGTGCTCCTGCTTCTGGCTTGCTTGCTCCACAAAACCCATCGCAACTGCACAATAATTGCTCGCTCATCAACAACCACTGTTGACCTTTACGCTTCGATATGACCGCAAACGACCAGGTTTAATACGCGACGTGAATATTCAAGCTTAGCTACCGCGTTCGCGCAACAACGCAGCACTTGCTATGGGAGGGATGGTACTATTGCTTCTAGGTCAATCAATCGGGAAAATAATATTCTCAAACTCATTAATAATTCATTAAGAAAATACAAAGGAAATTAATGTTTAATGAGTGTTTGGAAATCGGATGAAACACTGCTTAGTATTTGCATCCTTAATTTCTCCTTCAAAAATGATTTTGTTTGAGAAGAAATATCAAACATTCGACACAGTGTTTCATCACCAGATAAAACACCTCGAAGTTCGTCAAAAATACTCCGCTGTGCGTCGTATTTTCAACTCTCTTCTCGGTGTTTCATCTGGTGATGAGACACTGCATCTCATGTTTGATATATTACTTCTCAAACTCATTAATAATTCATTAAGAAAATACAAAGGAAATTAATGTTTAATGAGTGTTTGGAAATCGGATGAAACACTGCTTAGTATTTGCATCCTTAATTTCTCCTTCAAAAATGATTTTGTTTGAGAAGAAATATCAAACATTCGACACAGTGTTTCATCACCAGATGAAACACCTCGAAGTTCGTCAAAAATCCTCCGCTGCGCGTCGTATTTTCAACTCTCTTCTCGGTGTTTCATCTGGTGATGAAACACTGCATCTCATGTTTGATATGTTACTTGAAGCCCTTGATAATTTTTAAAAAGATCCAATTTGCTCTAGGAGCACCGAACAGATACGAATCTTATAGCGGAGCTAAAAAAAATGAGCGGCAGTGGAAAAAGTGAACAAGAAAATGTACCACATTTTCTCCACAAAAAGTGAAAACCAGGAAGTTTTCTGGACGTTTCACGTTGCAGTCATGCAAATCAACGGCAAGGAAATGTACAAGAAAGTGTGCTGCAATTAGACCTATTGTTAGTTTTTCACAGTTCTGGTCAAGGGCATCCAACTTTTAATTTTTCACATTTCACTCACCGGGTCAGGCTATTTTTCGTAAAGAGTAAAATGGAATCCTAAAATTTTCGGATTCAAAAATGTGATGAAAGAAGGTATCTGAAAAATTATCTCCTTCGTAATACGTTAAATTGCATCTAAAATTTTCGGAAAATAATTCTGAATTCCTCGAAATTTCGAAAGACTCAAGTTCCTCTAGAATGGCCGAACACTGAGATGCAAATTTTATAGCGCCACTTAGAATGCATTTCTATAGAGCTAAAAGTACTTTATGAATAGCTACAAAAGTGTTTTCAAATTATTTGAGGAAATAGTCTTTGGGTGGCCCTGTCTCGTTGTCCTCTCCGTTTAGCATTACACGATATATTTTATATTTAGTATGAGCAAACTATAAATCATTAGCTTCGCTTTTAGTCCTCCTGACTAAATTTATGTAAGAGCTGTTTAGAATGCATTTTTAGATCAAAAGTACTCTGGACAGCCTTAAATGTGTTTTCAATACATTTAGGGGGAAATCATCGTTGGGTGCCCCTGAGTTTTGAGAATAATAATAATAATAAAAAAGATATCGCGCACATAAATTTTACTTTACGATATCTTCAGCTGTATCTTCTATTCAGCTGCATAGCCGGGGCCAGATTTTGCCTTTTTCCTGGGCGGAAAATTCTCGTCCTCCTTCACCAGTTTGGACAACATATTATGGAGTAAGACGTTGTTAATCTAAGCAAATAAGTCTGGTAGAGTCAAGAACCTATGCAAGCGGCTGGACGAACAATGTGACAGCAGCTGAGACAGCGAACGTTAGAAGAATTCGAACTTGAAAACTAGGGCTGCCCTGTTGAAAACTTACGGACGGTCCCGCGATCGCCTTTTGTTTTCTGGTCAAAACTAACGCAGCGAACCTTCGGTCAGTGTCGATTGACCTAAAAGCAATAGTACCATCCCTCCCATAGCAAGTGCTGCGTTGTTGCGCGAACGCGGTCGCTAAGCTTGAATATTCACGTCGCGTATAGCAGGGCTGAAAAACGACTGCGCATGTGCTGTGGCATGCGGCAAAAAACGCAGGCTCAGGCGCGCGCTCATTCAAAATGACTCCAGTTTCGCCGGAAATAAACAGACGGCATTTAAATTGAAAAAATAAGGTCACAGTTGAAAAGATAAGGGTTTAAACAACAGTTTTGAGAAGAAGAAACATTTTCCTTAAAATCTAGTGAGTGTAGAAATTTTGCAAAAATTGTTGTCGCGCCGAAAACGGCTATTCGCGTGATCGTTAAGTGAAGTTGCGAACCCGGCTAATTAGTGAAAATTATCGGCGATGTTTACAACACCTTGTTGGCTTTTTATTGTCATTTTGCCGTCTGTTTTTGGGTGTTGGTTTTCTGGTAAAACCAGAAAATCGAAAGAGGATTGTTATGGCCCTAGCAAACCCTTACCACCAGGGTTAGCGAGAGCAGCAGAATTGCCGGAGCACACCATAGTTTGCCTCAGACATCTGCGGATGATCGAGAGCCAAGACAATCGGTGCTCTGCACCCTTTCAAGAGAAGCACTCAAAGAAACTTACAGAGATTCCAGCGACACATTATGGAATTATTGATAATTACGGCCGAAAAAACGAAAACTTCCGACCAGGGAGCAAGTGGTGCCATGCTTGTAAAAGGAAGTTTTACAAAAAAACAGACGGAGAAAGTGGTATGGCAAGAAGAAAACGAAGTAAGGTAAATATTGGCAATTCCCTGGTTAGTTTGCACTTACATTTTATCAAGTCAGTAACAAGTACTCACTTCCCCCAACATGTTTTTGTTACATTCTTTATAGAAAATGGATATGATGACCAGTTTAACGGAAAATGAGACAGAGTTTTACCAACTTTACCAAAAGGAGGCTGAAAAATGTCACACCCTGACAACACAAATGGAGATGCTGAAACAACAGCTCTCAGGAATAACAGGTTTTACTAATTTACTTTGCATTGCTGCAATTAAATTTTACATCCCTCAACTATTTTGCATTTCCCATAAAACACATTTTGTATTAAACAGTTGGGTTCCTTTATTTTAGAATCAATAATTGACAAGAAGTTAGAGGAATTTCAAAAGGCTCTTTACAGGCACCAAGTTACCACACCTGACATAAAGATTTATGATACAGATTCCATGAAACAGTTTGTGAATAACAACAGCCCTGGACTCTTTCAAGATCTTCTTACCTGTGTTACAGGAGGTAAAAGCCTGTCTGAGAACAGAAGAAAGCTGCAAGAGCAGAGAGTAGTGGCTTTACTTCACATCCTGGCTTATTTTAGGTATGTACTTTGAGTTTAGTGATCTGGGATATAATTTTGCACACAGTCATGTATAACTGGTATAATAACATTTGTTTTATTTGTCACAGATCACAAAAAACGTCTGCCCTACAGAAGGACAGCGGACTGCATGCATCCAACTGTGGCATGTCATTACGGGGACTATCTTCTGGCCAGGTGTTGGGATACAGCACAACCCCCAGGACAATACAGCAGTTAAAAGCTAATTTGAGTGTACAACACACAAGCTTCATTTGTCAACAATTTCACAGGGTAAATGAGGTGAGTCCCTTGGGTGTAAATATATCTAATAGAAAGTTTTAGATCCGAGTTTACCGCGAACCTCTAACCGCGGTTTGCGGTTACCCGTTTGCGGTTCGACGTTCAAACATAATTCGATTTAGATTGGCGGTGGATTAAACAAGTGGATTCTGGTTTATTTTTCCATTTAGAAATAGAAGAAAAATTAATCAGTAAAAATAAAAGAAATTTACGGCAACACTGGGTTATCTAGCAGCAAAGAGCTGTAAATTCTTACATTAGTTCTTCTTGCAATTTTACGGCCGCCATTTTGAATCAGCAGCCATGAATGGCACTTGTTTTCAAGATCCAATAGGATTTATCAAATTTAGCATTTCGCCCGAATTAGTGCCTCCGTTAATGTATAAAGACTTGCTCCACAAGATTTTTGTATCATTACGTGGAATGAGACAAGAATTATACGCTAAAAGCTTTCAGGTAAATGACATACGTGAAAACTCAGCTCCCCACGTTGAAAACGCACGTTGTAAACCTCGAACGTGACGCGAAAGACTTGTCACGTGACCTCCAGCGGTTAGAGGTTCGCGGTAAACTCGGATCTAAAACTCTCTAATATCTAAAAGTTGTGTACCAGTTGCCCAAGAAAAAGCTTTGAAACAAAGAGAATCATCATGAAATCTCCTGATACAGTAAATAACATTAACACAACAGTTTATGTGTGTTGTGTTTAATTTTGCTTTTTGTCTTTCTTAACAGCTGCAATGCTTTATCGTTTTAATGCTTGATGACTTCCACAACATCCACTCACTCCATACACCATCACAGTTGGTACGGACAAATGTCATCCACATGGCATCCTGTTTGGCAGATGTTCATCCATCAGTTCATGCAGTCCCTCGGCCTGCATTTCCCTTACACAGACAAGTGACAATAAATGTAAATGGAGAGCAGAGGACCTGTGCTGGCGGAATTGACATTAACGATGTCATGCAAACAATAACAAACTCATTAAGGAATATGAATAAACAGTTCTGGGACCAGCTACCAAGTTACATGCAAAGCCTTGATCCAGGAAGACTACAAACAGCACTACATGAACTAAGGTACACATTAGTCTTATTTGTTACCCATTTATCACAGAAAAATGTCTATTAAGAGAAAGACAACAGGTTAACAGCAAAAAAATTAGACTTAATAATTGCAATGAGATTGTAAATATCTGTAATGTCTGTCTGTTGAACAGGGTGTACTCAGATCCAACAACACAAGACATTGAGACGCTCGAGACTTGTATGCTAGTTGATGAGTTTCAACAAGATTTAAAGAGCATGGAACATTACAAGATGGCCCTTGAACGTGTACTGAACAAATGCCCTCAACTTAACCTGTACAGCAAGAAATTTGTTGTACCATTGCCTGCTGACTGGCCAGGGTGGTACTATCCCAAAAAGCTGATAGCAAGTGGATGGAATCCCAAAATTAGCATAATTCCAGAACAAGGGCCATTTCATGTGTGTCTGAATGCTTATGAAGATGTTCTTTTGAATTTTAAATTTGTTTTTGACAAACGGTTTTCGTATGTTTTTGGAGGTACTTTGGCATCGAAACCCAAACCATACCAGACATCCCTGTGTGTTACTGCTGCCTTACTTGGTTGGCAACTGATACGACAAAAGGTACTGGAAAAGTTTGGAAAGTGCAAGCAACATGAATTTGTCACCATTCTACACTTGCTTGAACATGTTTTGCCCCTTGTGTTCTACCAGTATAACATTTTCAGAAGTGGTGACTTAAAGTTGTATGAGAAAGTTATGGCACAAATAGCTATAATTTTCATATGCTGGAAAAGGAGACATTATGACAAATCAACCTTGTCATTTTTGAGTGATTGTGCATACCAGTGCAAACATCTTCCAGAATACTGGTCAAAGAAGGCAAGTGTTCTCAAACTGATCACAGAAAAGAAGGTTGAAGTTTGGCACTCTGTACTGCGAAGAAACACTGAGAAGTTTGACGATGCAAAAAGCATTGAAGACACAGCAAAGTCTATCGCATCATCAGGTTTTTTAAATGATTTTATACAGTCCTTTGTTCCTCAATACCACCGCGGTCATGCTGAACCAAACTTATGGCTTATCGCAGGGAAGACAGCAGAACTCTTACTTGAACTGTTTAGGAGTGTCTCAAGAAACTGTCAGAAATCACACCAGGTAACACTCCTAAGGCAAAAACATATCACAAATAATTATTTATAATTATTACATTGTTTCTGGCAAGTAAATACAGTGAACTATAAAGTTTTAAAGGTGCCCATAACACAGGTACCATACGGCTTGATAAGTAACTGGCCCTATGTTCTTAATAACTGAAAAAGAGATGACACTGACATTACTTCATCTGAAAAGTAATCATCAGTTTTTGCTCTAATAATCAAAAGAATTGATAAATAGTTATACAGTCAATCCACAGAGTAAGAAAACAAAGTTGTGAACTAAAACTAAAGTAAAGAAGCACAATAAAATATGCTTTAATGCATTGTGCATACACCTGTAAGTACACTTCGGTGTATTCATATTCTACTGACCTCATTTGGTTTTGTCTGTTTAGGTCGAACGCTCCCTTGCAAATAATGGAAGACCAAAGGGAAAGCCACAGTATTATCTCCCAACGTTTGACACCATAGTTGACACAAAGTGTTTTCCACTGAGTTATAATTTGGAGGATGTGGAACCTGGCCTGGAACCTGACCCAAATGTTTACTGTGATTTTCCAACATGCACAAGAAGAGATACAAGTACTGTCATGAGATTGGCCTGCTTCCATTGTTTTCACCAATCTTGCATTTCATCCTATGATTGTTGCCCGATTTGTCTGGTTCCACTGAAGAAAAAGGTGGAAAAATTAGTGAACACATTCAACACTGGACTGCTAACTTCTAATGATACTGTTGCTTTTGAAAGTAATGAAGACATTCAGGAAGAAGAAAGAATTAGTACACCAGCAGCCATGAGTGTGACAGAGGCTCAGTCATTTTATTCCTCAGCAGAATGGGCTACGAAGGTTGACAGCACAGTGAATAGTTATGCAGCAATCCCTCTTCCATCCCATCCAAACCACAATCACTCTTCAGCCCAGCCAACAGTACATGAATCCAACTCTAATACCCCATCTCGTGTTCTCACCCCCATTACAATCCAACCCTATCACAATGGTAATGTCACCTACTGGTCTTTCCCACATATCATTTCTCAATCTACAATCCTTGGAAGAACAGGAAGTAATGCATGCACATTCATTGCCCTTTTATTTAGCAAAATGTTTTTTTCACCCAATGTCAACATTCCAGCAACTGGGAGTCCACTAAGCCAGGCATGGGTCTATCAGATAGTTGTGCAAGGCATTTTGGCTGGGAACTCTATCTATGACTCGGTAACGAGTATACCTCGAACATTTGGTGTGTTGGAGGCACTTCAAACCTCTAGTGTTTTAAATAACATCATTGGAAATACTACTGTGGGACCTGAACTGCCTGTTAGCATTGTCCCTGAGACAAATCCCACAGCTTCTTTGCCTTACTACTGGAGACAAGCTCTAGCCAAAGGGCGAACAACATCAGTATTTATCTTACGGTCCAACACAGTTGTCTTTATTCCAACAACACAGGGAATTTTTCTTTTAGACAGTCATTTTCATGGGAACAGTGGGGCCCAAGTTGCATTTACAGAGTGGCAGCATTCATTTGAACTTCTCTCTTGGTATAAGAGAATTAATGGCTTTCAATACACACTTGGAACTGTCACCAACGTGACGTTCAACTAGAAAGAGGGCCGTACAGAGGTGCTTTCATAAAAGTCATGAATCCTGAATTCAATAGGATAATTATTTAGTGTCCTGTGACCAAAGGTGGATCGTGCCCGAGAAAAACTCAAATTGATAGCCAATAACTGAACCTGAAATGACATTTTAGTAAAACTCCGTAATTCGTAGAAGTTATTTCTTTGGTCCATGAATCATGCCAGAAAACCCCCTCTACAAACTTCCAAGAAAGTACTTATAGAGGAACAAGTCAACAATGACAAGGATTACTGTCACTTAACTCGTGACGGTATATTTTATGCCATCTGTTTACGTGAAGCTTGCTTGTTGATTCATGAAGACTTCAATTCCCGCGCGATTTCAGTTTTATCTTTTAGTTTACACGCGGGCTTGGTTGGGAGTCAAATTGTAATGAAACTATGATTGGAAGGAATTTATCACGTTACGTCCATTGAGAGTTCACTTGATAATAGCTCGATTATATTTTTAAAGTGTATAAAATCAATCAAACCTACTCACCAAGTGCTGCCATCGTTTCCACAAAGAAGGGACGCTTTCAGGAACTTGTCCGCCGGCTTTAAACTATCTAAATAGACGAACATTCCCCTAGAATCCTTTCAGAATGTCAGAGAATTTCCGTTGACTGAAAACGTTCACAAACTGCGTCTCTCAGTTCCATCTTGTAAACAAACATTGCCTGGGGACAGCCGCGTTCACCGCCATACTTTTCATTGATCAAACGATCGAAATGAGAGACAACCGCCTCGTCTGACGCATGCGCAGTCGTTTTTCAGCCCTGCTGTCGCGTATTAAACCTGGTCGTTTGCGGTCATATCGAAACGTGAAGGTCAACAGTGGTTGTTGATGAGCGAGCAATTATTGTGCAGTTGCGATGGGTTTTGTGGAGCAAGCGAGCCAGAAGCAGGAGCACACGTTACCTGCAGATTAGCCGATGGTTATTTGGAGCGGATTCGTCAATTATTCTCGAATTTATAGCGCTTCGTGTGAAGGCGCGTGGAGATGGTCTATTTGTTTTGTAGCCAGCCTTTAATTCTTCTTTAGTGGATAGTACCTACAATTGCAAAACTCAACAAAATGCCACTTAAACCGGCCAGGAAAGACAAGGATACGTTCAGTTGAAGGTATCTTAGCTTTGTTTTGTTATATTTTGACTTTTAAGACTATTTTAGTCCATGGGAGTTTCGACGACTCATCGCATTAGTTTGTCCATGTGGATATTAATATATTCATTCAGTGACACATACTACGTCTGGGCCGCCTGTGGTAAAATCTGATCGCAACTTTCATTTACGGGATGACTTGAGAATAGATACTATAGAAAATGTGTGGATAGAAACACAAGACTTAATTATTGGTGTTATATATAAACCGCCCAGTTTATCTAATCGTGATTTCTTAGATAAGCTTGAGGAAAATTTACATACAATTTACCTCTCCAAGAAGAAATGTTTGATTATGGGTGACGATAATATCAACACGCTTAAACAAAGCAACATATCAAAAGAATATCTAAATTTGCTACGCTCTGAAGGTTTTAGTCCTTTAATATTTGAGGCAACTCGGGTTACTGAATCTAACTAGACTTGTATTGATCATATTTATACCAACGTTTCGTTACCATCTACGAGTGGAAGTATTGCCGTGGAAATAGCTGATCACCTTCCAGTCTTTACTATTTTGTACAATTTAGATCAAACCCCGTTTCCGAATAAGCTTGAATATAGAGACTTTAAGAGATTTGACAGTGGGCTATTCCAGACGGCATTAAGTCAGGTAGATTGGTCTCCAGTTTTTACTACTAGCGATGTCAATGAGTGGTTAACTAGATTCCTTCACATTTTCAATCGGATAAGTAATCAACATGCCCTGTTGAAATCAACTAAGGTGAAAAATTGTACTTCCAAACCATGGATAACTCCAGGTTTGAAAAAGTCAATGAAGGTGCGTGACAAACTGTACAAAAAATGGTTAACAACACGAAATATACTGTTTTTGAACAAATACAAGTTTTATCGTAATAAAATAGTTTCCATAAATAAATATTATCGCACCTTGTATTATAATAAAATTCTTGCTGACTCTACCAACACAAAGAAAATGTGGGATAATATAAACTTCATTATTAAAAAAAGGCGCCCTTCTCATATCGACCAACTCCAAATTGATGACAAAGAATATTTACAACCAAATTCTATTTCTAAAGTTATAAATAAATATTTCTGCAACATACCTAGTCGACTTGCCTCTAAACTGCCTAAATCAAATCGTTATTTTGGCTCTTTTTTAAAATCGACTGGATCTAAATTTCGTTTTACATTAATGCATGAAATAGAAGTTTTTCTAATTCTTGATAATCTTGATGATAAAAAGTCGTTTGGTGTAGATAAACTTCACCCTTTTTTGGCCTCAGTTGGAGCATTTCAAATTTTTCGTCCTATAACGTATATAATTAATCTGTCCATCAAGCAAAGAACTTTTCCTGATAATCTAAAAATTGCTTAAGTGATTCCTATCTTTAAACAGGGATCCCGTTCACTGTGTGATAATTATAGACCAATATCAGTTCTTCCAGTATTAAGTAAAGTTTTTGAAAAATGTATTTATAATCAACTTATATCTTATTTTTCGTCTGAAAATATTATCACTCCTACTCAATATGGGTTTAAGCCAGGCAGTACCACTGTGGACTGTCTTATTGATCTCTTTGAAGAAATCTCTACCTCTCTAGATCAAGGAGATTATGCTGTATCAATATTTTTAGATTTGAGTAAAGCATTCGATACCGTCAATCATTCGATTTTATTATCAAAGCTATCGTTCTATGGCATTCAAAAACCTCATATCGACTGGTTCAAATCGTATCTTAATAAAAGAAAGCAGAAAGTTTTTGTAAATGGTAACATTTCCGACACCATGCCAATTTCTTCTGGTGTACCTCAAGGATCAATTTTAGGACCGTTGTTATTCTTGATATATATAAACGACTTTACTCAATCTTCTGATTTCTTCTCCATGAGACTATTTGCAGACGATACCTCCTTAACAGCGTCAGCTAAAAATATAGATGAACTCTTATTAAAGATAAATAAAGAACTACCTAATATTTATGACTGGCTATGTGCAAATAAATTAACCTTAAATCTAAGAAAAACTAAATATCTTATCTTTCAACCTCGTCAGAAAGTAGATTATAATTTATTACCTCCGCTATCGATAGCTGGCCAATGCTTAGAGCAAGTATCCAAAATTAAATACTTAGGTATCTATATTGACAGCCACCTATCCTGGCATGACCATATCGACTATGTTTGTGATAAAGTCAGTAAGAGTATTAATATTATGACAAAGATAAAAAGTTATGTAGGAAATCAATGTTTAACTAGTATTTACTTTTCTCTTGTTTACCCATATCTCATATATGGTTGCTTATTGTGGGGAAATAATTATGATAATCCATTATCACAGCTCATACGTCTACAAAATAAAGCAGTTAGAATAATGAATGGCGTTCCTTTACGAGATCATATCACTCCTCATTATGCTCATCTAGGTTTATTAAAATTTCGTGATATTGTTAAAATTTACAATTGTTTGTTTTTATATGATTATGTCTCTGATAATAAGCCGTGTAATTTTCCATTATTTCTTGTATCTGAGCAATATGATTATTTTACACGAAGTGCATCTGCTCAGCAATTACACATTCCCCACTCAGGAATTAATATTCGAGAGTTTTGCCCTACCGTCATTGGAAAATACTATTGGAACGATCTCCCCCTTTCTATTCGCAATAAATCATCGAAAATGCTGTTCAAAAAGGCACTTAAAAAATATTATCTTGCTCAATATTGACTTGTGTGCGTGTGTGTGTGCGTGCGTGCGTGTTTGTGTTTTAATGAATAACAAAACTACAAAAGAATAAAGTCAATCTTGTTAAAGGGCCATGATTAGTTTTACTATAATGTGCCCTTCTCCATTCTAATTTTCTTCTTTTATTATCATTATTATGTACACGTAGTTTAAGCAACTTTGTACCAATTGATATTGTACAACTAATGTATTATTAATATTGTACAACTATTGTATTATTGTACAACTAATGTATTATAGGATGGAGTAAAAAAAATAAAATAAAAATAAATAAAATAAAAAAAAATAAAACTAAGCAGTTTAGTTTTACCCGAGATCTTAATTGGACATGTTTCATGTGATTTACTGCTTACCTGTTACACTGTCTCATGGTTATCCCGATCAAGGAAAGTTAAGAAAACTCGCCATAGAAGTAAGTTTATGATCAATGTTATAATATTGTCAATCATTTTAGTTTTGTTAGTTTTATAAGGATTTCATGAGTTTTTGGACATTGACGACCAGTGACCGCATGGCATAATGATTGTTGAAAGTTTATATCAGTTATTCCCGCTTCGCTCGTTTTAATTGTTTCGTTTATTACCAATTGAATTAGTTAATCAGAATACATTGTACGTTTTAATTTCAGATCGAATAAATGTATCAGTTATACGATTGCGAGTATCCTTCGGTAGTGGATCGACTTAGTTCTCTAACCCTTTACATGAAAACCCATAAAACGGCCATAAATCGGCCCGTGGACCACACAGGAGAGACGCAACACACATTTTAAGTAAGGTAAGCTGTTTTTTATTGAAATCCTTTCATTTTCGTAGGTTACAGAAACGATAGGTTTTTTTTCCCCCATACAAATCCTTATTACCTGGGCCTAGCCGAAGGCTGGCACCGGTCATAAAATGCAACGCGTTTCTGAGTTTTCAAAGTTACATTGTTAGGGATATATCGCTCACTGAGATATATCTCTGGCTCGTTACTTTCATTGAAATCTTATCCGCCATTTTGAAAAGCACGAGTCGAGGAGTCAAGAGAAAGATTATAGCTTTTTGGACGACACGTTTCCCAGCCTTTACGATGTACTAGTTTATGAGCAAAAACTTGAGAGTGAATATTTG